ATGCTTGTAGCGACAGTGGAGAGGAAAAACTCCCTTTTAACAGGAAAAAACCTCCAGCAGAACCAGGCTCAGTGTGAGCGACCATCTGCTGAGGCCGACTGGAGTTCACTAGCAATGGTAATATTCCCATTCAACAGTAGGGCTTAGCTATTTTATTTTAGCGTTTTATTTATATTTCCCTACTTGTTACAGTAACTACAAACAGGAAAATTTTTGCTCCAGGGTTCCATTGTTTTCATGCCCTTGAAAGCTGGATAGTCCAGAGTCCACTGTTGCAGGACTTTACTGTTTCTGTTGAAGGGAAAAGTGCTTATTGCTACTCTGCACTAGCTGCCCTTCCCTCTTCTGTATGGCAGCCGACCTGCTTTAAGCATTTTACCTCCACCTAAAGGGATGGAGTGAGGAAGATGGTGTCCTACTCTTGGTAAATGTATCGTAAATGACATTGAACATCTCTATGAATTGAAAATCCTGCTTGGTAAACTGCAATAATGTGTATGTAATCCCTGCAGGGAGCTCTGGGTCGGCCGCAGGGTTTCCTCCCAGTGCAGTAGAAGGGAGAAATTCTGGTAATACGACCCAACCAATCAGATAATCCCCTTCCATGTGTAGGAGCAGGAGCTCTACTCTGTGCTTCTATCTTAAAAGTTAGGCTTAGTCACTCTTCAGAAAAAGCTCATGTCACCCGGGAGTCACATAGTTGACGGAAGAAGAAAAAAAACAAATTGTGCTCCATTTTAAGGGCTTTACAGTTCCTGGGTTCATTGTGTCACTATTGACCAATGACAGAAGTTGCACTGAGGTAAAGAAAGGAGACCAAGAACAGCTTATAGAGTGCAGACCATCAAACTCTAACTTCCAATGTTAGGGCCTCCAAATGATGCAGCCGATGTAGACTGTGCTCTGCAAAGGATCCAAACCCTGAAGCTTTCATGGAGCACAAAAAAATCCAAACCAGACTGATATCATGATGATAAATCTCTAAATTCTTCTTTTTCCTTAAGTTTCTTCTTCTTCTGTTTTAAATTGACCTTAAATAAAAATTAAATGAATGCTTTTATAATGCTATGGCTAAACATTTAAATTTGAATGAAAGACTCTGGAGTAAATGAAAAGAAAATAGTACGAATGTGTGTGTTTGTTAATGATGAGCCTGTGTACAAATGGGAGGTAAGCTACAAGGCATTAACCAATCTACTCTGAGGTGCTGGTTTTCCTGAATTATGCTAGTTTTTATTTTTCTGGATGTTGTTCTTGACGAAAGAAGCTGAGAATTTGCCTAATAACAATTGAGTTTTATTATAGTACTCCTTAATAAGTTGACAGTTTAAGTCTTGAAGATCACATTTTTTTTAAATGTCCTGTAGTTTACAGCAATTTATCACGTCCAAAACACTTTACACCACTCCAAAAACTGAACAAAAAATAAGTAAAAATTTTCCTCAAAGTATAGTATTTGTTCCTATATATATATATATATATATATATATATGTGGTAATTAGATTTTGTGTATCTAAAATGACATAATTAACTTGTTTTAAGAGTTAAGGGAGTTTTCTTACACTCTTGTATTTCTAAAGACAAATCAATGTACTATATTTCACGTCTTTGCAGTGCATTCATATGGTAGGAAGCTCTACTGTAGCCACTGCTGCTCTGGGGCAGACTGACAGAAGCGAGAGCAAACAATCAGCCCAGCCAGGCCAAGGACAAGACTACTGGCACAGATGGAGCAGGTCGCATAGGATTGTATGTTTCTCATAATGTAGATATATCCATTCAATTATTTCCAGTTTTATCTGAAGGATGGCATGCATAAATGATTACGCAAATATCCAAGTTCTGGCAGAAGGTGACAGTTCTCATACAGCTTCTATGTGACGGACAGCAGTGGGTGAACTCATGAGTTATTTTCTGCTAATAGCAGGCAGAGGAATGTCAGTCCTTGGAGTTGATGATGGATAGGCATGTGTACAGACAGGAGACCCCACCCCACCCACACCTCCACACCAAGCCTCAGAGACCTCAACCCCCCCAAACCCAACAACACCTCTCAAGCTTTCAGCTGGTCCACATCCTCAGATGGGATCTCTGTCAGTGTGAGGCCTCTGAAAATGTTGCTGCGCAGCTCCAACACTCAGTCACATTGTTAGCATGCACCGTCATTTGGTTTCCTGTTGGAACATTAACTGAGTTTGTGTATTCAGGATCTTGGCTTTGGATGTGGAGTCACATTTCTCCTCATTACCTGAAATAGATCTGCCTAATGGGATCTGCTTAACCTGCGACTGTAGCCAAGAACGAGGGAAAAAAGTCGGTTACAGCTGTGAAGCAACTCCAGAGTCATCTAATATTTGTCCCGCTGAAGGAATTTACTTCTGATTGCTTCTTTGTTGTGAAGCAAAGAAATACCGATTTTTTTTCTTTTGCTTTCACAGGTTTAGATGAAAATACTTCACTGCTCTGTAGTGGAATGTGGTGAATTTTGGGAGTTCACAAATCTGCATCCTCCTCCACTACCTTTTTTTTAACAGTTGTAGAAATTCTGAGGACCCCTTTAAAAAGTGCATTTCTTCTTAGCTCATTCTGAGAGGCAGGAGGAAGTTGTAACCAACAAAAATCAACTTTATTTTATTAGATAGAGTGATATTGTTGGCTTTTTAACAATTTATAAGGAGAGGAAATATTGAAAGACTGGGCTTTGAACTTCAATCTGATTGAACAGCAAAATTTAATATTAATATTAAATATATTTTATGCTCTGAACTTTTTTTGCACCATGTTTTTTTCTGCCACATTGTTTACATTTGATCACTGCTGCACTTTAAGAAATGGAAATGTCATGAAAGCTGTATAAAACAAAATTTCGTTTTGTATACCCTCTGTCTATACAAAATGACAATAAAAGTTGTCCAAGTATAATATTGCTGACTTCATTGTGTTTCATTGAACTTTTATGTATTGACCAACACAAAGTACAGCTGGTTGCACCATTATAAAGCAGGGACTGGAAAGGTGCTCAAAAGGAAACCTATGTTAGAACCTTAAACATGCAGCAAGAGTTTGATAAAAAAAATTAGATCAAAGTGTGATGTTAGAATGGCCTATTCAAAGTAAAAACCTACATTTCCAGGTAAAACCTATGTATCTGCTAAACACAAAAGCTCTCTGGCCAGTCTGACTGAGCCTAGGCGGCTTTCAAATGAAAAACAGGCCATAATTTCATCTGTAGACGGTAGGGGTGGAACGGTTCACAAGATCCACAGTTCGGTTCGGTTCACTGTTTTGTGGTCACGGTTTTCGGTTTGGTACATGTTTATTGTTACACCGAAAAAAATAAAATAAATAAATAATAAAAATGTATGAAAAAATAAAAATTTATGAAATTAATGAAAAAAAATCCCAAAAAAATTAACTAATTGTAATTATTTTTAATGATCCGCAGAAACCCTGGATCATTTTCGCATGTTTTGCTGCTTTGAATTTAATCATCTCGCGCATGCTCTCTACCATCTCCAAGGAGCTCAGAGCAGAGCGGACGGAGGGAGCCACAGTGGAGGCTGTAGGCTTTGCTTTGAGCAGCCGGTCTGGAGCGCAGCGGGGCGGAGCGCTGACGGAGTATGAGGGATTTCGGGGTTAGCAGTACACGTTGGTCATATTGCTGTTAGCATAAACAAAACGTGTTGCACAATGCTTGCACACTGTTGCACTTTTATCCACAACTGTCTTTCCGCCGTCATCGTAGGTCACTCTAAATGCAAAGCGGTCCCATACAGCAGACCTATAAAGTGCTGCTGGCGCGTCTTCCAACTCCTGTTCTTTCCCACTCGCCATACCCACACAATTCTCCACAACAACTGATTTTTTTCTGCTACACCCGGCTACGCTGCTTCGCTTCTTCTTCTTCTTGTTTACTACTGGTGGTTGGCTTTGGTCGCAGTACCGCCACCTCCTGCTCTGGAGTGTAAACGCTTCCCCTATGAGAAAAAGGAGCAGCACATGAACTGAACGCAACACACGCGAACCGAACCGAGACAGTCGAACCGAACGGTTCGGACGGTTTTCAAAAACCGTTCCATCCCTAGTAGACGGTAGAGATACCCCAAAAATAAATGCTGTAATTTTAGTCAAAGCTGATTTTACAAAGTTTTAAACCAGGGATCCTTTATTTTAATGAATCAAGTACTTTGTGCTGGTCTGTTGCAAAGAAGTGCAGCAAAATAGAAGTTAAAGCAGTATAAATACGTTTTTGAGGCGCTTCATGCTAACGTATTCTACCTTATGCAAAATAAACAGTACGACGGCTGAAATGTTCACACATTTCAGCTAATATCACTTTGACCTGAGAAAGTTTACCACCTGCAATTGGCTACTTTTCAAGAAGTCCCTCCTCTTGATGTAGAACCATTTTCTACCCGGTTGCGGTAAGTTACGTTAGCAGAGCATCCTCAGGCTAATCTATGTTAAAAGTTGTTTAAATTAAGTCATCATTCGGTCATGGATGTGTACCTTGAACCCCAGTCGGCCTCCGCAGATGGCCGCTCACACTGAGCCTGGTTCTTCTGGAGGTTTCTTCCTGTTAAAAGGGACTTTTTCCTCTCCACTGTCGCTATAAACATGCTAAGCTAATGTTAGCTTCACTGTTCATATTGATTAAAGTGAGGCTTGAAAGAATTCTCGTTTATAGTTGAACACAGACATTAACATTGACAGTTTGCTGCTACGACTCTGGAAAAGAGCAGCTACTGTATTAGCCTGATGATGCTTTACTAATGTTAGTTGCCACAACCAGGAAGAAAACGGTACAGTCTCAAGAATATTAACTCTGTACGTTTAGGATGCATCAAAATGGGCACGGAAAGTAGTACATATATGTGTGTTTTTAAGTAAAACTGCTCAGGCGTGTTCACTTTTTAACATATTTCCAACTTCTATTGCTTTACAAGACATTATAAACATTTAAAGGTTATTAAAAACAAATGCAAAGTGTTTGTGAGGTTTTGGAATATTTTATAAATACTTATTTCTTTATTTCAGTATACAAAATACAGTATATACACCCACACAAAAGTGGTTTACAAAATCCATGAGTTAAGCTCATATGCTCTGAAAAATAGAATATATTTTTGATCTGCCTGCTTGTCAGACAAAACTGAGATAATACATCGTTTTACAAAGTTCTTGATTTCTCCTCTCATTCCATAGGGAATCAGGCTTGTCGTGGTCCAAGAAGGGCACGTGATGAGTCCCAGGCATCAGCCACAGAAATGCTCTGTGATTCAAAAGCACATGAGGATTTCCCTTTGCGTTTTCCCCAACCTCTGTGCTCCACTGCTCCAGAGGAAAAAAAGTTTCAATCGTACCGAAAACGATGAGGATCCATGAGAGCCCCTTCAATATCCAGAGAAGGATGCCAAACATTAACCCTCCAGCATAAAAATCTATATTGTTTCTTTTTTAGAAGAGATATGTTTAAACTGGTTGTTGTATCCCTGTTGGGAGTAGGGGCTTATATTCATTAACATAGAAGAAGGTAATACCCAGAAAGATGGTGGTCGTCACATGAACTGGTTTGTCCCGTTGCCACAATTTCCAACCAATGCTTGTGCAGGAAGAAACCTCGAAGCCCAGCTGGATGTTTGGAGACGTATTATGATAGGGATACTGCACAAGAACATGCCAATTGTTGAGATATGCGTGCTAATGCTGACGACAGAAGAAAACCTTCTCGGTACTGTAGTGCTTTGGTTAATCTGTAGCCTCTGAGGGGCTTGGTACGAAGCCCAGCGGCTGCCGGTGAATCATTTGCAGACGTATCGCTCTACGATCCGCTCACACTTTTTGCAGGTTACATAGCAGCACCAGTGGTACTTGCAGTGGCAGCGTTCGACCAGCTTCTCTGTGTAGGGGTTGTAGCCACGGCCGCAGCACATCAGGTCGCAGCTGTCGCTGCCGACAGATGTTTTGTTGCACTGCCTGCAAAACAAAGGAGACATCACATCAGTCTCTATTTTATGATAAAACAGGTCAAAAACACACCTCATCTGGAAAAAATAAAACATTTAGTTAAAAAAAAAAACACTACAAAGCTAAAAAAGAAAAAAAAAACGCATGCGTCATGGTTTTGGTTCTGTTCAAGTTTTATTTCTTAATTTTCATTGGTCTTATTTCCATCTGCTTCTGTTGAGAGCCCAAAACTGAGACAAAGCCTGCTGGGTCCATTGTTGTCTGATTTTTACTGTTACGTGGAGGTTTGAAGGAGGACCCAAATGCAGACACAAAAGCTGAAGTGGTTTCTTAATAACAAAAAGGGTAACAGAAGCAAAAATCCAAAAATACTGAAAACCAGGAATACTCACAACAAGGGGGCAAAGAAATTACAACAAACCAGCAAAGAATGAGTGAACAGGAGGAGAATATATGGGAGAGAGAAACAAAGAACAGGTTAATTGGCAGATTGGGAGCAGGTGTGAACAGAGGAGGCAAGAAGGGAGCTAGGGAAATGGAGAATGACAGAAGAGATCAAACAAGAAATAACTACAACACAAAAATGGAAATAAGACAATTGAAAACTAAAAATAAAACTTGAACAGAACCAAAACGAGGACAGCATGTGTTCTGCTTCAGAAATAAACTTGTTTTGCCTTGAAAATGATCTAAAATAGCAAAAATCCCTAAACATTCAACAAGCAGCCGTCGTTAAAGTAAGCTAAAAGAGTCCTGGACAAAGGTCTGGTTTTAGGGAAAAATAACAGCAGTTTTATAAGATGTTAACATTGTTGAGTTTGAGACCTTGCAGATAACTTTATAAAACAGAAACTTTATGATTGCAGAAACTATCCAACAGGACAAATTATATTTTATTAGGCATAGAGTTCTACTTCAAAGGGAGCTAAACATTTAATCGGTACTCCTAATGGATCAGAATATGGATCATTGCTTTGCATGTTCCAGTTTGCTCAAACGCTCCAATGTTCACCTCTATGCAGATGATACAGTCATCTTATGTTCTATTCGAACATTTCTTTCAGTGCTGTTAGGATAGAGGTGGGACTAACTAGTTATATGTACTTAGTGAAATATTATGCGAGTAACGTTTTGAAAAAAAAAAGCACTTTTTGGAGTAGTTAGAAAAAAAAATTTCTGTGCCCATTTGCTATTTTGTAATTATATCTTGTTGTATTTTTTTCCACACATGATTTTCTGTTTAAGAACTTTTTACTCCCCATTGAGTATTTTTTTTAGATGACTACTTTCTTATTTTAAATCAGTAAAATGTTTGGGTGTTCTACCCACCTCTGCATTCAAATATATTTCGAATCGAGGCAAACCCAAACCTTCATTGTTTATGAATTTAGGAACGTCAGGTGCTGACAATCAAATATTTTTAGTTTCAGCTTTTATAAGGATGTAGATGGTGTCAACTTGAATGATTTCTCTCAGTTTCAGTGACTTTAACAAATCTCTTTGCACAGGTTTTTCTAAGAGGGGTTGGGTGGGTCCTCCCCTGTCCACCAACAGACTGAATTACTGGTATATTTGGATCTATAAATCAATTCTGGGAATTCTACCTACATACCCGCTAAGCTATATAAACCAACAGACTGCAGGATATTACTCTCTTTGTTCCCAGAACCTTCTAATGGTCCCGAGGGTCCAGCCTGAACTGGGGAAGAGGTCTTTGCTACATACTGCTCCTATGTCTGGAATCAATTACCGAATGTCTTCATCCTACAGGAGCAGGTCTCTGAACCCTTTAAAGGGGTTTTAAAGGATTTGGAGAAAACATCTTGTAGATTGTTCTAAAATATGTTTTTACTTTACCTTTATGCCTTTAAGTTTAATATTTGTCAGGATGCTCTTGTACAAGAGATTATATATAGATATATATTTATGGTCAAATAAGGATGAAATAAATAACGGAATTAAAACCTTCTGCAGCCTCTCCAGAGTCTTCAATTATCTTCTGAAAGGTTGTGACCGACTGTCAGGCTTTAACCTTTCGTGCACTCTCTATTCCAAACATTTTTTCTACCATTTTGTTGTCTTTGAGCAATGGCCGCTTTGGCGCCTCTCATTCCAGAGGCCCGGGGCATCCTGAATGAGCAAAGAATAGTCCTGTCATAAATCAAACTGAATACACCAGGCGGCCCTCCCTTTTCTTTGGCGTGCCCTTCCAAACGTAACTGTTTGGTTTTATGATGGCGAGGTGTTAATGACCAGTGGGGTGAAAGACCCTGGAAACTAATGACCACTGCAAGAAAGGGAGGGGGTGAGAGTGTCTAGTTTATTACATCGGTGGGAGCTAGCGGACCACCGCAGGGTCATGGGGACAGAACAGCTCATCCGATTGTTCATATCTGCAGGATTAGGAGCAAACGGCACCATTTAGCATACAAGGTCTTCCTAGGACACCAACAGCCAAAATAACCAAGATCAGATTTCATCTATTTAGAAACGGCAGTAGAAACTCACTTGAATTTTTAACTAAAGCAGCATATTTTTACTCTAAAGCAAAGAAGGAACTAGGTCAACTATTAACTTAAAGAATAAATCAAGAGACGAGCACAAGCAGCCATTAAATCAGCAATCTGATGTCAGAAAGCGAAAGTACATAAACTGTTTCATCTTGAGCCTTTATTTCACATATTTTCCTGACAGAGGGTTGCCAACGTCCCTTGAAAAAAAAACAATCGTAACATATTTAGAAATAGAAGTACCTGTCCCATATTTAGTGGAAAAGAAACGCACTTTGTCCCGTATTACGGTGAGAGTAAAAAAGTATTCAGTAAAAAGCTAATGGAAAATAAAGACCAAGGGCAAGTTAGATACAAAACTTACAGTAAACTTGTTCCCGGGCCCTGTCCTGTGTTGTGACGAATGGGCTCTATGCACAGCTCCACTACTTCCTGAATTTAAAGCAGCTCCTTTGTTTCCTGTCTTTCATGATTGGATGCACTGATTAATCCAGGTGTGTCTGGCCAGTTACTTAGGTCATACACACCTGGATTAATCAGTTCGTCCAGTAATGAAAGACAGGAAACAAAGGAGCTGCTTTAAATTCAGGAAGTAGTGGAGCTGTGCATAGAGCCCATTAGCTGACAACATATATGTAACGATCCAGAATACTCTCATCCCATTGGTCGAGCCAAGTGTTGCTCATGGAGAAGATAGCAGGAGACAACAGAGCAGTATGGGGGACGAACGGAGTAATTTAAATGCTGACACTGCTTATTTTCAGCAACCAGCGGAGCTCAGAGGGTAACAGCTGCCAGGGCTAACCGCAGCAGCAGCAGCAGACCGAGAATGGACAAAGTCCCCATACATTGTTGTCACCTCTCCCTATTTACCCAGCATGCATCAGAGCAGACTTGTCCGTTCTTGTCCCAGCATGCACTGCAGCAGCAGCAGCTTCCAGTGGAGCGCCAACAGAGCTCAGAGTATTAAGTTAAAAGTTCTCTCTTCTATTGCTCTTGTTCAGTAAAAGTACATTTTAAGATCATTTAAGGCGAGAACATTATATCGATTTAATGCGTAATTTAAAAAAAGGCGAGAGGACCGCAGCAACCAGCGGAGCTCAGAGGGTAACCGCAGCCCGTCTGCAGCAGCCCTCTCTCGGCATAGCCGTGTATGAAGTACAGCTGGTTGTTTTCATTTATTTGGCTAAATGTTCATTTGATTTATGTTTATCCGACTGCTCATTATTATTCCTGCAATAAATAAAAGAAGAATGTATTATTATCTAGAGATCATTAATAACAGGAGGTGATATGCAGCTCCAGACGAGCCGAGCATGTGGTGACGTCACGAGTACGCTTCTATTCCAATAGACCCATATTTATTCCGCGTGCTCATGAACATACTGGGCCAGGACACGAGTCCATACTCACATTCTTGTGAATTGAGAAACAGCCATTGTTCTATTGTAGCTGTAATCTTCACTGTAATGGTTACAGTAACACACTGTGATCAGTGAGAGTACTGAGCCTTTCTGGTCAGGCTGTGAAGGAGCAGGAGGAGGTGTCTGGGAAGAGGAAGTCTCTGCTGAGAAGGCGAGCAACCTGAACTCATTTAGGACGGTGAGTACGATATTAAATAAATCTCATGATCCTTCATTGATATTAGAACATCTTTTAAAGGAGATATTATTGTTGAACATAATGCTGTTGATTTAAGCTGCAATTTTAAAATTGCAGTTTTTTTTTTCTTTTGTCTTTTTCTCATCTGGGCTGCCACGCCTCTGTGACCTTTAGCATCTCAGGCAAACTGATTTGTGTCCAGTGTCAACATCTGTTGCCATGACACCCTATGGAACCACATCAGCATGTTAAATGCAAAAATATAGGATAAATATAATTCATTATTGCACACAATAATGATATACCGTATTTGCAATATATTTAGGAGCATAATGAACATTAAAGTAAGAAAGTAGAAAAAATAGAAAAGGAAGAAAAGAATTAAAGCTGTATGTGAAATGATTTAAAAACAGACGTGATCATGTTTCATTTTCAGCTTTTAAAGGGAAACAAGTAGATTTTGTTACAGCTTCCTTCTTTTCAGTTTAGTATGATAAAACATGATATTTTAGCTAAAGACAAACGGAGCGTCATGCCGGCCTGTAGATGTTGGATTTGTGTTGCTATCAGCAGCCACTGAGGAGCCAAAGCGTCCTCGCCATCAAGCCTGCCCTCTGCTTATCTGTGATCAGTGGCACAAGACCGAAGAACACATGATTCAACCGCCATGTGATCCATGACATTTATAACAAAACACCGATATGTAACAGCGCAGACGGGCTTTTTAAGGTGAAGATGCTATACTGAGCTTCAATCCGATGCATTAAATGAGCAAAGGAATCAGCGATGAAGGCCTAAACAGGAAGTTATGGCTCCGTCTGTGATTCTCTCTGCAACACAGATGTTTTAATTTCACGATTTCAATGCAACTTGGAGCCCTTCATGGGTTCTGTTATCTCTTCTAAAATAGAACAGTGTGGGCCCCTCGTTTATCACGGACCACCACCGACTATATTCTGTGACCCACTCAGAGCCATATCAGCTGGAGGCCCCTCGCTGCTAAGAATAACTGCATTAGTAATTGTTTTAGATAACAACACAAGGACTCCATTCAATGTGGCCTTTTCAGCTGCGCAGTTAGACGGGGGCCACAGACGGCACGCTCTCAGGGGCCACGCTTTCTTTTTTTTTTTTTTTATCAGTCAGTCTGGAAAATAAACGTAGCCAAAAGGCACTGCGGCGTTCCCTGGAGCGAACTTCCTGGATGAGCAGACGCTCAGGGTTGGTCATTTCCTCTTTGCTCTGGTGCTGATATGAGTCACGCTTACAAATCTAAACCAGATCTACCGTCAGGGCTCTGATGTTTCTACTCAAACGATGAAAGAAATCTTTTTTGGAGAGGAGATTGAGGACGGTCAGACCATTCAGAACTGTTTATAGTATTATTTTGGACTAATGGGTGACAGCTTCACTCTTCAGTCAAACAGGCGGTGAAACAGTTTGCTGTTTGAAATGAACGAATTTTAGTTGATTTAGGCGAAGGGGTCTGCAACCTTCACAATCACCCATCCAGAAAATAAAAATAATTTAGAGTTGTAAACAATATATATAAGCTCTTGGATAAAAGATATAAATATATTTAAAATAAAATTACTTTTTCTTTTTAAAGAAGTAACATTTTACTCTTTTTTAGGTAAGAAAAAACAAAAAATTACTTAAAGAGACGGATTATATCTTAAGTGATGTAAATTTTATGACAAGCGAAAGGAATTCTATAACACTGGGATTCACTGATTGATCAGCTGGACGACAATTGGCCTCAGTTTCCTTACTTTTACAAAATTGATGATCGTGAATCTCCGATCTCCTAACCTCTGAAAAAGTCTGAAAATAAGCCTGAAAATAACTGCTCCAAAGTCAAAAAATTGAAGTTTGAGATCAATATATGTTCGGGTGTAATTACTTTGTATTGTTTTGCAGGTATTGTTAATTATTTTTTTCAATAAAATAAGATTAAAACATTAAATGTGTATGGTGATTTTATTATTTGTATTATTTGTATTATTATTATTTGTATCAATTTGTTAGTAAAAAAGTCAACGTCAGGCTGTCAGACTTAAAAAAAAAAAAAAAAACCTGCAATCAGTGCACCCCTAAAACCCGCTAAAACTACATTACTGGTACGTTTAGGATCCTTTTCATGCAGGAATCAGAGCAGATGTTCAATTAAAACATTTTCTTTTAATTTGCTTAAAATCTGCGGAATGTATTGTATCTATATTTAAAAACACTAATTGGGTCTGTATTATTTAAAAAAATATAAGGGGTACTGTGGGAGGTCCAAAGACGCTCTTAAGGCTGCAGAGCCGCAAGTTGCAAACTCGATTAAGGCATTAAGCAACTTGTATGCATTCATCTATAGGCTGGTGAGCTATCTCTATAGTTATGCTGCTACAGGCTTAGACTTTTAAAGGACATCAGAACCCCTTTTTAATCATTCTGCTTCATTCTATCTCTATTCTCCTATTCTGCAGAATCCGTTAGTTCAATCTCTAACATTCTGCTCTCTCTGCTTTTCTCATAGTAGCTTCATCTGGTCTCTTTCTGTTTGGCTGTGACTCCATCCTGGAGAGAAATATCAGCTGTGCTGCTTCCATCAACACCCTTGTTTATAGATGTTGGAGATCTGCCTGTTTTTCAGTGTCGTCCTGTTTCTCTGACTGTGACTGGCCGGATGA